CATTCTACTAAGGCCGTGCCAATGTAAGGGATAGCCGATAGATTAGTAATAACTGTGGGTCCTCAGAATAATATTTGACCTCATGGAAGTACGTATCCTACAAATGCTGTCGCTGTTACTGTAAATAGAAAGATAATTCTAGTTTCTACTACAGCATATGAGCCATAGTAAATCCCTCGAACCTGCATGGAGGATTGAAGCTCCACTATCGTGTAAGTAACGGATTAATCAACCATAATTTACATCGCGGCAGATGTGTGTGACTGATGAAAATGCCGTAATGGTATCTGATGTATAAAAAGGCCAATTAGGGATCCAAAGTTTCATCAAGATGAAATATTAGATGGGGCTGGTAAACCAATGAACGAGTGGTTAATAATTTTTATTAGTAGGTGTTTCTTACAAGTGTTTGTCATTAATGTTTCCATAGTTGAATTACCATGATGATTTTTCATGTCATTAGTCATGGTATAATCTATGTAGAAATTATGACAGAATATATTTACATTTTTTGTTAGGGGCGGGGTCAAGACAGGGTTTCTCTGTGGCTTTGGAGGCTGTCCTGGAACTCGCTCTTGTAGACCAGGCTGGTCTTAAACTACCACACTAAAGCCTTCACCTATTTATGGGGATATGTGTCTAATTATTAGTGGGTCTGTGGATTGTTTAGAGGTGTTGGGATTTGGGGGGGTCCTTTTTAGGGTTAATAGTATTTTTAGTTTATTGGGGGGATAATGGTTGTTTTGGGGTATACAACTGCTATGTTAGTGGAGTACTCTGAAACCTAGGTGTCAAGATGATTGGTTTTTGGAATTTTAGTAATAAGTATATTTATACAATTGGGAATAACATTTGTAACTAAATATGAGAGAGGAGAAATGCTATTAGAATGTAATAACATAGGTGGTTGAGTTATTTATGATGGAGATGAATTAGGTTTAATTGGAGGAGCTGGGATGATAGCAGCATTATATACTTGTTCTTCGTGATTAACGGTAGTCTCTGGCTGAGCTCCGTTTATAGGAATTTTTTATCATTATTGAGATTACCCAGGGAAATTAATTAGGAGAATTGGGATTGATATTAATGTAATTAAAAAGGATAAGAAGTAAAGTTTAAGCCTTTCTGGTTTTGATAAGTTAGAGAGTTTATGGTAGAAATAATTTTTGGGATGGCTTTTTCAAATCATGTAAGATCAAGTGTGTTGAGGACAGTGTTAAAGATTACTGTTGGAGATTTTATAGGAATTAGTCAATGGATAGTTAATGTAAAGTACCCTAATGATGTAAAGAATGAATGATTTGGTGAGGGTTTAGATTATAAGTTACTCAGTTCAAGGCAATAGTAAAGCTTCCATGAGTTACTCAGACTGCTGTAGTTTTCAGATACCATGGCATGGTTATTACTTGGGTGAAGGTGATAGGGATATTACGTGAGATTATAAAACCTGCAAAGACACTTCCTAGGGCTAGTCGTTTAATTGGATTTATGTTTCGGGTCATTTTCATTTAAAATAATTAGTGAGGGTAAACGAGGTTTAGTTAAGGCAAAATAGATGATTGGTAAACTGTAAGTGGCTGTAAGTGAGGTGGCTAGTACTGTAATTAGAAGGGCTCTGGCGTTGGTATAGCGCATATGTGCGGTTTCGATGACTTGGTCTTCTGAGTAAAAGCCAGAAAGAAAGGTTATTCCGGTGAGGGCTAAGCCCCCAATACTAAGGCGTGACAATGTGAATGGTAGGAGCTTTGACCATGCTTCTGTCTTTCGAGTATCTTGTTCACCATTTAGGCTGTGAATAACTGATCCATGGCATATGAATAATATGGCTTTGAAGAATGCATGAGTACAGATATGTAGGAAGGCCAGGTAGGGTTGGTTAATTCCCGGTGTGACTATTATTAGTCCTCGTTAACTGAATGTAGAGAAAGCTACATTTTTTTTTTTTTAATGTCATTTTGGGTCAGGGCACAGATTGCTGTAAACCGTGGAATCAAATTGGTAGGAAGATTCCTGGAACCACTATTGTACTTGAGAGGAGGACTGAAACTGGGGTAGGGCCTTCTATGGCTGAGGGTAGTCATGGGTAGAGGCCAAATTGTGCTGATTTTCCTGTTGCTGCGATTTTAAGTCCTAGGAGAGGAACAATGTTTTGATTATTAGTATGAAAATCTGTTGTAATTCTCATGAATTAATGTTGAGGCATAATCAGGCTATTGTAACAATAAACCTAACGACACCAATGCAGTTACATGAAATGGCTTGTAAGGCTGCTGTGTGAGCATCTGATCGGCCGTATCATCAACCAGTTATAAGAAAGGATACACCATAACAGCCGATAGATAATTGAAACATATTATTAGCTGAAGTAAGAATAATTATAGGAAATATAAGTAGATATTTGATGAATCGATTTAGATTAGGGTCAGAGTGTATATATCATGAGAACTCTGTAATAGACCAAGTAACAAAAAGGGCTACCAGTAAGAATACAGAAAAAATAATCCAATTTAAGATAGATAATTTGTGTTGAAATTCAGTATTAGAGTAAAAAAGTATGCCTAGGGGAATAAGGCTTAGGATAAATGAATACTTGAAGTAACGTAGAGGGAAATGGGGGATTTTTTAGGTGCTAGTAAGAGTTAATTGGTAGGGTTAATAGGAAGATTAGAACAATTATTTGGAGTTGCACCAAGTTTTTGGCTCCTAAGACCAATGGATTACAACTATCCTATAAAAGAAAGGAAGCCGTATTATACATGGGAGCTTGAGCTAGCAGCTCTTGCATACTTTTGGTATTAAGGAGCATCACCTCCTGCCTTCTTTTTTTTGTAAACTATATCCACACAGTGTTAGGCCTATAATTAGTTTAGGGTTAATTGTTAGTAGATTTAGGGGTGTGATATGTAATTTTATGTTAATTCTTGCGTGTGAGAGGGTTGGAGACTGTGATACCTATAAGAATAATACAAGTATTTGATCAGGAGAATAGTGAGATTGTAATTGGTAGTTCTCTGATCAGATTAGTTGAGGGAGAGCTAGACTGCCTAGAAATAATACGGCTAGTAGAAGAAATACTATTTGAAGGCCCCAAGCTATGATCATAGTTCAGCTGTGAATTCGTTCATAATTAGTATTGGCTAGGCAGAATAATAGTGATGATGTCAGGCCATGTGCAATTATTCCTCATGGGGCTTGAGTTATGATAGCTGAGATAACTAGTGCTTACAGGACTTACAGAGGAGTAAGCCCTTAATGATTTTAGGTCTGTTTGTCGTAGGCAGATTGAACTAGTTATAATTATACCTCATAGTGAGAGTAGAATAAATGGATGGGCTTTAGTTTTTGTTATAGGGTCTCGGATAACAGATACTCGCATCATTCCGTAACCCCCTAATTTTAGTAGAATTGCTGCTAGTATCATTGATCCTGCTAGGAGCTTCTTTTGGGGCTTTTGGAAGTCACGGATGGGCCCTGTAGAGAGGTGTTTTAATTATAAATGCTATTGTACATGCTAGTCATAAAATGTAGTTAGATCATGTGGGTTTAATGATATCAAGAGAAAGAACCATGGTATTTAATGTTCAACTAACATGTTAAACAAGCAGACATACTCCCAGGACAGGAAAAGATGGAGACACTCAGATTATCAGGATAAGGTAAAGAGATCACCATCCACAGCATTATATAATTTTAATTCTTGTTTCTAAGCAGTTTCACACTGTAGTCTTAAAACAGACGGCAAAGACAACCAGCACACTATATGGGACTTGGCAAAAAATAGCTATCATCTATGTCCAACCATGCTGTGACCCCGAATTCACACCTCGATGGCAAGTCTTGCAAACCGATACTGCAGAGAGGCAGGAGGTCGCAGCAGCACCAGTCCTCTCGTGGCTGCCGACTGGCTGGACAGCATTTCCAGCAAGCCGGTCACACTAACAAACCCTAGGGCTTCTCCACAGCCAACAGACATAGAGAAGTCCCCCTGCGTGACAAAGCCCAGGAGGAGTCGGGAGCAGTGTGAGGTCAGTCCTGGGAGGGGCCCTGACCACAGCCCCTTGGTCAGAGCTTTTTGTCCAGCTGTAGGAGCCCCTGCTGCCAGGCCCTCGGGGGCTGTGAGCTCTCGGTTCCTCCGCTTCTCCATTTTCTTCTTTTCTTTCTGTTTCAGTATCAGGCTCTTAAATGGGTCGCTGTGTTTAGATTCCCGGGGTCCATGATAACCCTGATCCTGACTGAGCTGGAGCAGGTCCTCCTCGGATGGGACACAGATCATGGTTTGAGGCTCCGGGCTGCCCTTCCTGAGCAGGGACAGGCTGACCCACACCAGGGCTCTGGGGAATTCGTCCAGAATGGACAAGCAGGCCTTTCTGGTCAATTCTTCTTGCTGGCCTCTGCAGGGAGCCCGCCTGGCCTCAGAACCCGGCCCACACCAAGCAGAAAGCTGCCTCAGTAATTTCCTATTCCTACAGGACGTAAGAGACAGACAAAATTATAATTAAAAACCATTTTAAAGCATACAACTAATATTTATAGCTAACGTTCTTTTCATGTGACTGCCATTCTGGGAAGAAAAAAAAAGGTACCAAACTGAAAAAAAAAAAAAAATAAAGATTTTAGAAATAAAAAAAAAAACAGTTTATAGGAAAATAGGATAAACCTCAGGGTTATAGCCAAAGCGAGAGGATGAGGAGAAAGAAGGGTGTAAAATTCTTAAGATAAATGATGTGAAAGGGAGCACTTTATAGAATGCCGAAAAGCGGAACTGAGCCGCAGCAGCCTGGGGGCAGTGCTCACTGCACACGGAAGCCACAGCATCACCAGGATGCAACAAATGGCTGATGGCCCACCCCAGATCCACTGGAGGGGCTAACTCAGAACAGAGGCTTGTCACCAACCAGCGTCAGTTGGTTTAGGACAATATTTTTTTTTTTTTTCTTTTTAAGGATTTATTTACTGTGCTATCAGTGTTCTGTCTGCATTATACTTGCAGGCCAGAGGAGGGCGCCAGATCTCATTACAGATGGAGGTGAGACACCATATGGGTGCTGGGAATTGAACTCAGGTCCTGTGGAACAGCAGCTGGTGCTCTTAACCTCTCAGCTATCTCCCCAGCCCCCTTAGGGCAATACTTTCAATCGTCTCATCAGTTAGTACCATGTCTCAAATACTGAACTGTTTCCCATTTCAAAGAGACAGCTCCCTTTTTAGAAAGGGAGCAGACAGGAACAACGGTAACTCCGGGGATGTTCAATACAGAAAACAATGCAGGTGGCAGCGGCGTGGACACTTACCTAAGAACACAGAGCTGGCTACCGGTGGCAGCAGCGTGGTTCTCACTGGCACCCTGCCCCAGGACTACTTCAGTCCCTGTGTGTGCCTCACAGCCTGTGACTTCTGGCTTCGTGGGTTGGTTTTCAGATATGCCTGCCTCGTTAGATGGCTGACAGGTCTCTCCGGGGACACTAGGCACTTCGAGTCGTCTTGGGTCGTCCTGGGCACCAGGCATTGAGGCCCGAACCCTGGACTCCCAATCCCCAGTCAGCTGCTCCCAGGGACAGCAGAACGGTGCCAGTGTGCCAAGCTTAACATAGTTGGGCCTTTTGGCAGGAGGGCGTCTAAAGAAAATAACAGAAATCAATTTTAAACAGTTGAAGAGTAGAGAATTAAAACAGCCATTATAACATACCTCCAAACAACAACACACACACAATCCTGCTTGGGAAGCTCCTTTTTTTGTGGTTTTTTTTTTTTTTTTTTTTTGGAAACAGGATTTCCTGTGCAGCCCTAGCTGTCCTGGTACTCACTCTGTAGACCAGACTGGTCTCGAACTCACAGAGACTCATCTGCCTCCCAAGTGCTGGGATTAAAGGCGTGTACCACCACCACCACCCAGGTCCTTCTGTTTTCTTTGGTCTTTTTTGTTATGTTGCTGCTGTGTGTGTGTGTGCGTGTGCACGTGTTTTTTGGAGACAAGGGCTCTCTGTGTAGTCCTGACCTGCCTAGAACTCACTATTGTAGACCAGGGTGGCTCCAAACTCTGCCTCCCCTGTGCTGGGTTTAAGGTGTCCACCACCGCTCCCAGATCTTTGGGGGTCTTTTTGTTTTTGTTGTTAAATTTTAATAGATAACACATCTACAAATGCGTGTGGCCTCTGAAAACCAAACGCAGTATTGCAATGCCTATCCTGAGCGCTCCACATACATGGTGCCCCTGGGGTTGGGCACTGCTATCCCTGGAGGTTTATTTACAAGGCTTCTCCCTCACTTCTGAGCTAACAACTAAACTAAAAGTGAGCAAAAGGAAAGACGATGTGTACGGACAGTGCACCCCGAAGGACACACAGGAACCTGACAGGATGCAGGGTGGCAGGGCCAGTTCAGAAGGTAAGGGAGAAGCTTCACGGTAAACCACAGGCCCTTGGGAAGACTCAGGCTACTGGTGTTCTGCTCAGTCAGTGGTTCTCCACCTCCCTGTCACTGTGCAGCCGCTATGAGGTGTAATATGAATATCTGATATTTGACTGCCTTGCTAAATGGACCTGTTGTCCAACTGCCTTCTCAATATTTATGTTTATTCCTACAGACTAGCTATAATCTCAGCCAC